TTACTTTTATTAGAACATTTTTTTTCAGAGTAGGGGCACTCTCTGTCCGCACCTTTGATATGGGCGTTCTCACTTTTCCGCCATGTTTTTAAAAGCGCCAACGGTGTATCAACAACTAAAAGTGCCTGGACCCTTTTCAGGATTGTATCCAGAAAAGGCGCATATGAACTGGCATACATTATTTACTGTAAATGGAAATGGCCTATGAAAAAAAATTTTTTAAATAAAAGTAATTAATGTAATTACTTGTTCCAGCGTATAAATGTATTTAGACCCTACATCACTACTGATTGAAATTATGACTGGATTAAAATTCGATCAATCAGAGCAAAGTTTATTAATCCTCTTCAGATAGACGTTTTGCGTCAAAATATTATAATATTATACTATTCCCCTAGCAGAACAATATATTGGCGCAATATGGGAAATAAAATTAATCTAGTATTCTTAATATCGGCCCAATATTGTAAAATGGACGCCTTCTCTTATTTAGCGTAATTTGATACAATATTAGACCAATGTTGCTAAATAGACATATTGGCTAAATAAGAGAAGGCGTCCATTTTACAATATGGGCCGATATTAAGAATACTAAATTTATTTTATTGACCAATATTTCCATTACCTTGTTAAATATTGGCCAATGCACTACCAATATAAATATAATATTATATAATTATTGTCGTGCAATATTTACATTTATTCCATAGCCAATATTGGCTTTACGTTGGATAATATCGACCAATGAATTTCTAATAGTTAGTCAATAGTTAGTTTAGTCAATAGTTAGTCAATGTTTAGCCAATGTATTGAGCTACTAGGGTCTAAACTCTTGTTAAGATTTATCAAAACGACTGGAACTATGTGACAATTGTAGAAAAAAACCGATAAAAATTTGTAACACCGCGTGGTCTTCAAAAATGATATGCTTGAGGAGGTAAGCACTCACTGTAAGACGTGTCAAAGTCATAATTTTTGGACAAGAAAAGTAACAGGCGAGGACTAGATCACGATTCGAATCAGGAACCTTCCGCTTGTCGGGCGATTATTCTTCTTATAATGAGCACTCGATACTCTTGTCACTTAACTGTTCTGTTTCACCGAATGAAATAAAAAAATAATATGCTCGCGCGGCGCGACTTAAGCTGTTGAACTCTTTCGAAGTATGTCAAAGCAATTTGGTCTCGGACATTTTACAACGACGTGATATTGTTACACTAATAGCAATGCTCAATGCATACGTCTGCAATATCGTATGCAATTTTGTTCGCGACGAGTTCGTTTGTTCCTCAAACGATATGAAAAAAAAGAGGGGCTCAATGAAACGGCTATTTTTTTTTGCTTCTCGAAGCCATAGGCCCCGGTTCGATCGCGTTTCAGGCTCTTAAAAGGGTCGTCAAAATGCTAATTCCAAGCGGCGCGAAAACCTAGTTTAACACATGCCCAGCAGCGTTTAAAAGTTACGTAGTTCCGGCGCTGTTGCAGTGCCGGTTCTTCAGTAGTTACGCCCTGGAATGGCTCCGGATTCTTGTTACCTCTGGTTTTGTGCAGGTCATCCTCAACAGCGTTTAAAAAAAATTTACCGATTACACGTGAGAACAATTGAATCATAATAATTACAGAACGGGACGTATGGAACACACCAAGGGGATAACCACTTAAATTTCATTTACAAATTTCTTCTCTTGTTAGACAATAAGCATAAAGAACCCCGCACTATTTCCAGGTAAAAGAAGTCCCGACCGATTTTCCTCAAATTCCGTATACAATTAGACGTATCGTTAGGAGGGTCAACCACAAAAAATTTTTCAAAGAAATCATTTCTTCGAGCAGTTGAAGCGATATACCTGATAATCATGCAGAATCCGTATTAGACGATATTTTGAGATTTGCATTGGAAATCATACTTGTACAAAAAGAAAGAAATGTAATGATACAAGTATCTAGAAGTATATACATATATTTTCGATTTTGGAAGGTTTCCCGATGGTCTATTTAACCGGAAAACTCATTCGAGAAGTGCTTTGATGACAAAGTTGAAATGATATCGTTTTCTAGGTCAGTCATCGTAGATTAATTATATATTGCCATACAAAATATTGCAATAGTTCGATTATAATATATGTTACTCAGGCTCGGTTAATTCTTCAATCCTCCAAGGATAAGGACGATTATCCAGGGCCAACGACGAGGACGTGCCGAGTACTTGGAACCATATATTTTTCTTTTTATTATTTTTTTTCGTTTTACTAATTTTTATTTCTGCAATGTTGCTGCAAACTTCTGTGCTGTATGGGTAGTTACCGTTGCGTCAACACGCAATCTAGTTGAAGAGGCTTGGTAGACTCTTTTTTAAAGTTCCGCTAATTTTACAAAAGGTTTTTTTTTCAATGAAACTCTATTCCGTATCACGGAACGAAATCAATTTGCAAATGTGAATTTTGATCGCTAAACCGGAATCTTCGATCGACGCAGTTTATTCATTCGTAAGCGCTTAATACGCGTACAATACGACGAATCTCGCGAACCGCGTGCGGACGTATATTCTCGCTGATTATTTTGCAGAGGCGACAGGGGGGGGGGAGGGGAGAACGCGCGTGCAGAGGCGCGTAATAGGGAAACCGGGTGCAACAAACGAATAACATACTTTGCCGTTCCCACTCGTTGAATACTCGTAAATCCCGCATTCGTGTGAATCCGCTCATAACAGGGGGCTCGCGATCGGCTCGTCTAAATTGGTACGAGAACCATAACGCTCGCCGATCGCATGCTTCCTCTGTCTTTCCTCCCCCGCCACCTCCGCACGGGCGTGCAAACAACGAGCGAAAAAAAGAAAAGAGACGGAGAGGAGGAAGAAACGCGAAAAAATTGCTCCGTAACTTTCGTAATGCGGCACATAATATCGGAGCAATTGCTTTTCCGCGAAAGCGCGGGTGGGGTGCGGAGCGGCGCGAATCGGTCGTGGAAGAACGAGGGTGGTGTGGTGGCGTCGAAACGCATGATCAAAGAAAACTTGTAAATTCAGCCGCAAAATTAGCTTGACACTAACTCCACGAGGGCGGGAGAGAGAGAGAGGAAGGGAGGCATGGGCAAGGCTAAGAAGCCAGCCGGAAAAGATTGGTCTACGGGGGCGGGGAGAAGGTCCGGAGGGGGGAGGGGGAGAGGATAAGGCGACCTCGCGTGATACCTCATACCGACTTCGCGTGTCGAAGTCTGATTTGCTTTGTTGAATCAAGTGTACACGAGCGGGGGGAGAGAGAGAGAGAGAGAGAGAGAGAG